CTGATTGACTTTAAATTTATACATGGGTGTTTAAGGTCTTGAGACGAAGAATCCTATTGATTTTCAACGATTTCCGATAATTACTGCCAAAGTTATGGCCCTTGATCACTTTGTGGCGCTCTAAAGGCTAAAGTTATCATCCGATTGACTTCAGATTGATACACAGAGTTTAAGATCTTGAGGCGAACAAGTATATTGATTTTCAATGAATTTTTATGTCTTGAACAGCTAAATCCATGATATTAAAAGTTTTGTATACAAAACGTTAGCATGTTGCAGAACTTTATAAAAACAAACAAATTCTAATGGTTTTCTGATAATTACTTCATGAGTTGTTGCTCTTAAGAGCGTGTCCGCAAGAAAACCATGCAGAAGGTGCTAAGGCTTCAATCACAGATTTTGACCAAATTTGGTTTATAAGTTGGGATAGTCCCAAAACACATAAATGTGCAATATTAGATAAATCTTTCAATTCCTGTATGAGAAAATTGAAAAAACATTTTTCATATGGTGAAATTGCCAAAATCTGTCTTTTCTCAAATACCAACTTTGGCAAGTCCTTACACCTTTACTATACGTAGCAGAAAGACCAAACTCACACAGTTTATCGATGACTCAGTGCTGTTACCACAATATTAACTTCAGACGATTCTGGTGAACGAGATCTGTATACGGACTGGATATCAAAGCCTGTCTAAATTCCCCATTTTTCGTCACCCAAAGTTTGACGCCCTATAGCTACTTCTTTCACGGGGTGGGTTTAAAAAATTTATGCTCACGTGAACAAGCAACCTCCCAACATTTGATACAAAAAATAAAAATGACCGGAATCGACTTGACAAAAACTAGGTAAAGGAAACAATAACCCATAAAATTAACCTGTAATTTCCCTATTTTGGAGATAATTAACCGTAGTAGATAAAAAAAAAAACTAACAATTTATTTTCCTTTTCATTCATATGGTGTTTACTACCAGCCCTAAAATACATTAGTATCTGTTTTATTTATAAAAAAATATCTTGAAAAAAAATACTTTCAAAGGCCTGTAATCGTTCATGGCTCATCTGGCGTCAACGGGAATTGACTTCTGCAGTTGTCCACGACCTTCCATTGGAGTTTCGACGTGCTCAATCTTAACAAACATATCCATTACTCTCAAATAGACATTATTTTAAATAAAATAATCCAACGAAAATGAAAAATTCACCTAAAAGTGAGATTCGAAACACCAACTGCATGACTTCCCCCGACCCACCCTCTCACAGAGTTGCTTGTCCCAGGGCCCCAAGGTCCATGTAGTGGGCCCTGTTCAGGGGGTTTGCCTAGGGCCTCTCTTATTCTAAATCCGGCCCTGAAGGTGCAGCTGACGGTGCCCGAGAGCTGTAGCTACCATACTACACTGTTCAATGTCACCCACTTCGACGCAATTAGGCTTCGTTGCCGTTAATATTTAAGCTTCCACATTTCTGAATTGTAGAAATCAGTGGATGTGTCCCAAAATGAATAGTGGAAACATGCTCTGAAATTAAACATTTTGTAGCCATTTTCGGTAACTTGTTTGAAAATGAAATCTTAAAGAGACAATACAACAAATATGTTAAAGGGACAATACGACAATACCAAATATACAATAAATACAAATACACACTTATAGAGAGTACAACATGGTACAACTGATTTTTTTCAAATTAGTGCTGGGGTAGAAGTTGACCACCCGCTTTATCAGACAGGGTCAAAATTAGAAGGTTGCTATTCCACCATAGAATGCAGTCTGTGCTTAAAAAAGGTGATAAATACACATGTGAAAACCGCAATTTTACCCATAAAATGAATAATTCCTGTACAGTCCTTTAGAGCGACATCAGACTGTAACCACTTCAGCATGTTACCTCTTGCCCATAGGGGGTGTCATACCATAAGTTTGATCAAAAACTTCCGACCCCCCATCTTAGCACTTTTTGCGATTTTTGCATGGTCTTCTCGCGGATACACTCTTAATCAGATTTTAGTGTATTATAAATGTTTCATTGCCGAAAAAAGTAAAAATATGCGACAACTCTTGTTGACTGCCCGAACGATTTAGCTGTTGTGGGCGTATGTTTTGTTGCTTGGCAACCTATCTTTCGTAACATCAAGGGCCATAATTCAGGAAGGTACGATCAGATATGTGCGAATTATAAACATGCATTTCAACTTTCATTAAAATCGGATCAAAATTGTGACCTCTAGAGGGTTTATACTATACTATTTGCGTACGGGGGGGGGTGTATTTTGTCTGACAATTTTGGTCCGATTTTCATGAAATTCGAACTCAACCAACAATACTGTGTAACGGTGAAATATTGAAATGTTTTTTTAAATCAGACAATAATTGTGACCTCTTGCGGGACCACACGCTAAAAACATGATTTTTACTACAATCGGGCCATAATTCAGGCGGTTACGATCTGATATGCCCGAATATCGAAAGGAACTAAGATCTTTCGGTTATAAACATGCATTTCAAGCTTCATCAAATTTGGGTGAAAATTGTGACCGCTAGAGAGTCCACAATCTTGACATACCATATTTTTTCACTATTAGCAGAGGCGGCCATTTTATCCGGCAGTTTTGGTCCAATTTTCACGAAATTCGAACTCAACCATCATTAGGGTGTAATGGTAATATATTCAAACGTTTTTTTAAATTGGATAAAAATTGTTAACTCAAGAGGGACCACAAGCTTAATACGCAATTTTTCATACATAATTTACACCATTTCGTTATACGAGGGGCGGCCATTTTGTCATGAAATTCAAACTCAACCATCATTAAGGTGATCTATTCAAACGTTTTTTTTAAATCGGAATAAAATTGTGACCTCCATAGGTTCCGCAAGCTAAAAAACGTGATTTTTTGTACATTTAGGGGCCATAATTCAGGAGGTTATGGTCCGATATGCACGAATTTCAAAAGAAACTAAGATCTTTGGGTTATAAACTTTTCGTACAATCAGGGGCCATAATCCATGAAGTTACTATCCGATACATGCCTATATCGAAAGGAACCGAGATCTTAGGGAGATAAACCTATATTTCAAGTTTCGTTAAAATCGGATAAAAATTGTGACCTGTAGAGATGTGTCCGGATGTCCAGGGGCGACGACAATATACGTCCACATGAAAATGTGGGCATATAAAAATTAACCTTAAGTTAGTCCCGAAATAGAATCTAGAGAGTTCTTCAATAAACTGTGTTATGTTTATGTGGGAGACTTCATCAGTGAAATACTTTGTATAATCAAACTTTTCCTGAGTTGTGCAAAGAATTCTGGGAAGGGAGTGGCGAGAATTCGGTAGTGTAAAGTAATAAAGCAAAATTTAGGGCAAGATACGGGATCCTCCCAATCTGAGAAATATCTTTGATTTTTTCCGTGTTTATACCCACAATTCTAACCCTAACCCTTCAGAATAGTTTTAGCCACAATCCACCGTTGTTACAGCTTCAATTTGTACGTTTGACATGTAATTTATAAAGCTAACCCAAACCCTAACCCTAGAGAAAGATATTTCTCAGATCGTACAAAGTCTAGTATTGTGCAAATTTAGGTCTGTATTTTAATCAGAATTTGCTGGTTACTGTTGCTTTTTATTTACCTCTTGACATTTACAAATGATATTGAATAGTCACATTTATCAGGTAAAAACTTAAGAGTTTTAAGTACACGGTTTATTTGTAGAACTGACAAATGATTCAAGATAACAAAGTACATCTATTGGACCCTCTGCCATATTTATAACAATGCTACAGACCCAGCATAAAAGGAAGAGAGAACCAGCGGCTGCCAGGCAGGATACGCCCACATTTTTGAGCGATGGATAGAGAACAAGCTAAAGCGAAAGTGATTTTTCCTACAATCAAGGGCCATAATTCAGGAAATTACAATTTGATATGTGCAAATATCGAAAGGAACCAAGATCTTCGGGTTATAAACTTACATTTCAAGTTTCAACAAAATCGGATAAAAATTGTGACCTCTATAGGGTCCACAACCTTGATATACCATATTTTTACGCTATTTGAGAACGAAGGGCGGCCATTTTATCTGTCAGTTTTGGGCAGATTTTCACGAAATTCAAACTCGGCCGTCCTTAGGGTGTAACGGTGATATAATAATACGATTTTTTAAATCAGGTAAAAATTATGACCTCTATAGGGTCCACAAGCTAAAAATGCGATTTTGCGTACAATTAGGGGCCATAATTCAGGAAGGTACGGTCTGATATGCGCGAATACCGAAAGGAACCGAGATCTTTGGGTTATAAGCATACATTTCAAGTTTAAACCAAATCGGATAAAAATTGTGACCTCTACGGTGTTCACAAGCTAAAAACATGATTTTTCGTACAATCAGGGGTCATAATCCATGAAGTTAACAGTCCGATACATGCCAATATCGAAAGGAACCGGGATCTTAGGGTGATAAACCTATATTTAAAGTTTCATTGAAATTGGATAAAATTTGTGACCTGTAGACTGTTCACAATTGTTTGTGAACGGACGGACAGGGGCGACCACAATATATATACGTCCACATGAAAATGTGGGCGTATAAAAAGGGGATGCTCGATTGTCAGTCTGGAACGTTCCGAATTGCAATCGAGTGGCATGGAATTCAGTCCTGTCAGTTCCGACAAAGGAGGTGGTGTGAGTAGAATCATGATGTAATTAAACACAACAAATATGTTTCGGCTGCATGGTTGGTTGAGGTATTTTCTTATTCAGTAGATGCATGCGTTGTAGCCCGAAATGCCCCTTTCCACTCGATTGTCACTCAATTCCAGAAGATTCAATCGAGTATCCCCAGAGTATACTAAACAAGGGGACACTACCTGGGTAATGGACGTTTCTGCAACTTTCACTCAAGGAATAATCAAATCTAATTTCGAATAACCAAGGTTCGGAATGTTGTGGTGTCTTTCTGAGTTATTTCCTCAAATAAATAAAGAGTTGAGTATAAATGAATGTTTTATTTATTTGAACAAGCAGATATACAAAAGTTTATATACAAATTCCAATTACCTAAATAGTTGACATAAAATATGTTTATATATTGCACTAACTAATTTTAATATATTAATAATATATATAAAACAAAATCTACAGATAATATATACATAAAAAATAATGTAGCCTACCTACAGTATAATAAATATTACTTTTTATTCCGATTGTTTTATAATAATGCAAATCTACAAGGGAGCATCCAAGAGGCCTATTTACAACCCATTCAGGCTTTTCAGATTTTAAAATATTTCTACATAACTTTTATAAACTTGTAGCTATAATCCATATGAAGAAAATGTATGTTAAAATTAGTTTGTAATATAAGCAGTTGCCTAGAAATGGGCAATTTTGCATAAGTCACTGTTTTCGTTTTTTTGCCCTTAAAATAGTCAATAATTTTTGGATTTTCATAAAAGTGATGCCATTTGTTTCAAAAAGCAAGTATGCGTCATATCAAATTGATTACAATTTAAAATTGACACCGGAAGTGATGCCATTTGGTCAAAAACTGCATTTTTGACTTTTAAAATCAATATATTTTTCAACTAAGAATTATTTAATATGTATTAATTTTATTAACTTTTGGTTTAAATTAACATATTAATAAAATTCATATAGATATCATATAATGGTTTCTAACTTGTTCGGTTGCGGAGAGATAGGCGGTTTTCTAAAAGTCACTTTTGAAGGTTTCTCTTCCATAAATATGTCAATTATTATTCGATTTTCATAAAATTTTCACCATGTAATGTCCAATGTCATAGACGATGTTATAAAACTAATTTAACATTTTTAGTATCATTTTGGCAAAAACTGTATTTTTAGCCTTCAAAACAGATATTTTATTCAAATGAATCTGATTTGTAATGTTTTTAAAATTATGATATTTGATTCCAATCAACAAATAGAATGAACCCATACGATCATACAGATACCACAAAATGGTTTCTAACTTGTACGGTTGCAGAGAAATAGACAATTTTCTACAAGTCACTTTTCAAGGTTTTTGGTCTATAAAGGTGGCAATTATTATTCGATTTACATAAAAGTGACATAAGTTCAAGGGTAACGTGGCACCAGTGAAACCCGTCATTACTGCTTCGCAGTTCTAGTCTGTATTATTTTCATGCATGCAATACATATATTCTCCACAAGAATTCAATTCAAAGTGTATTAATTGATGTTAAGTGAAAATGCGGATATAATACACGTAAATACTAACTGGATTTAGATACCTGGTATTAATAATAAAAAAAGATTACACAATACTGAAATGCAACACAGTAAACAAACAAGAACTGCATATAATATGCTTTAGCCCCCCCCCCCTCAAATAATCTGGCCACAAGTACCCTTTTCTCAAGGTTATTGCAAGCAAGTAACTATTCAGTTAAATACAGTGACGTAATTGGAAGAGACACGATTTTAACATAGAAGTGAGACTTCTAGAACACGTAGACTTTCAGAAGAAAAACCCCTGCTATGCTCTATACTGATCCCTGGGTTAAGAGACCCAACTTGCAAGGGTCGCAATTAGTTAGTTTTTCTAACATTCTATTTGCAGGGGCTAATCTTTAGCCGCTAAAGCTCTACAATGGAAGGTCTTGTGTCTACCAAAATGAAACTCATCCAAGAACTTTTGATCCTCAACACATAGTTCAATATTTATCTCATGAATCGGACAAAAATTGTGGGAGGTCCACAAACTTAATTCTATTTCACATTTTGCGTAAAAGGCATTTGCCATAACTCTAGAACGGAAGGTCTGATGCGCACCAAACTTGAACTCATCCTGGGTATTATATGCTTTTACATTATTTGCGTAAAGTGGAGCGGCCATTAATTTTGTACTCAGTTGTAATGGTGTAACTGTGATATATTTGAACAGTTTTTACAATCAATAAAAATTGTGACCTCTGGGGTGCCCACAAGCTAAAAATGTGAGTTTTCGTACAATCGGGAGTCATAACCCAAGAAGTTACGGTTATAAACATCCAAAATCGTTATAAACATCAAAATCGGATTAAAACTGTGACATCTAGAGTGTCCACAATCTTGGTATGTTATGCATATATTTGTCCAGTTCAACATCACAGGAAATCGCCAGCGACTGCAGTGCTTTCGTGGTAAGGGATTAAAAAAAAAACCACATAAAAACTTCATTGCCGAGTAATTTTACAAGCCAGAAATCGCTTAGAAAGTGTCTCCGACGATCTAGACCCCCGGGAGCTTCCGAGGCCTAGGCGGCCCCTGGACGCTCGCCTAACATCCTAGGACCGTAGCCCCCCAAATCAAGAATTGCATCCGCCAGCACTGAAAAGAAAACACCAGGGATAATATCAACAAACTTGTAGTGGTAATCTAAACTTGATGGGGAGTAAAACTAAACTAATCTATTTCTAATACCAGAAACTATATCTATATATTACCATAATCAAATACTATGCTATATATGGCTGAGCAATATCACTTTATATATCACAGATAATCTTCAACAATATCTGAATATAACATTAACATAAATGGAAGTCTGATAACATTACACCTAATTGTACCGAACTTGCTTGAAGAAATATTAAGGAAATTGATAGGTTTCATTGAACTGAACAGATAATAATGAGAATATAATCCATCAAGAACAAAACCCTGTGTACAAGTCAAAATGGAAACATGGGGAAAGTTCTAAAATATACTGTTGATAATCTTCTAATTTTGATAGGGTTCCATCTTCTGATTAAATAACTAAAAATGATCAAACTGATTGGGAAAGAATTCTTGTTTAATGTGTTCATGGTGAAAATAAAACTTCAGCATATTCACAAGAAATTTAGAATGTATGGATGAAATAGGGTTCTACTTCTATGCTCCAATCGGGGTAATTGGACAGCAATTGAATTCAAACTTAAGGATTCTTTTGTGTGCATGCCAAGGTGCACTTAGAACCCCGTTTTTTTTTTATCCCATCCGAATGACTAGACGCTATTCCTTGCCAGGCCATCCGTCCTGCAACAGGCCGGAAAATCCACTGAAACATTTTCAGCCAACACCTCGACCTCCAGATTAGCAAGCCAGCGTCTGCTCACTGAGCCACCACGCCTCCTCAAGAAATTTGAGATGAACAATGACACACATACATAAAGGTATATAGGTAATTATTAAATTCGGGAATGTTGGTATCTAATTGTGCTTCAGATGATACTGAATAATAAAAAAAATGGATGAAAATCAAAAATAATGACTTTGGAATTCATAACTTTGGAAAATATAAATATACCCTTTAACACTGCACAGCTACAGTGTAAACACCACAACAGATTTGCCTGAAAATATAGGCTAAGCTAAACCCAACAAGACTTCAAATTTTCAAGATCGGTTCCCAGGCAACGAAACGTGCGTCCACAGCAGCTAAGTCGTCCGGGGAGTCATCAAGGGTTGTCGCATATATTTTTCTTTTGTCAGAAATGAAAACATTTACAGCACACTAAAATCTGATTACGAGTAACAACCCATATGGCTTCTAGTTCTGCCCTATTCTAACATTTAGCATAAAAAATATTTAATATAAATTGCCATTATCATTGGAAATCGTTGAAAATTGATAGGAATCTTCGTCTCAAGACCTCAAACACTGTATTAAACATACATTATGCAAGAGCTAAATCTGCCTATTGCAGGTCTTTCTTTAGGCCTGAAATGTTATCTAAATGATTAATTAGACATTAATTAACTTATCCAGACCATAATCAACGCTCGATGTCATCGCTAGCCTGCGATATTTACTGGATTAGGATCCGATTTGCTGCTCAACTTCCATTCATGATTTAATCATGAAATGGATAATCAAAACTATGTTTTTTATTGTACCGACTTTAGTAATGATGATCGAGGCTAGGCTGAAAATTCAATCGCTAAATTCTTGGTTCAGAGTGGAACAGTTTGACTGAAATTTTCTTATCAAATCCCGTAAATGACACCTCATTTGTGTACTGATATGAATTAATCTTATTCTGTAGTTGTTTAAATTAAATATTTAAGCATTTGTATTTTAAATTAAAGATACATTATAGGAGATTTTAATAGAGAGTTGGCCATTCTTGCTATAACAGTTCAAAAATAGGTGATGAAAGACGAATATATTGGAAATTTCAGTCAAATTACTTTATTCTGAACAAAGTTATAACCATTGTAATTTTTGACTAGAAATAGGAGTCAACTCTCTCTTCACCGTCTTTGAGAATGGCAGATAGTTTGATTGACAGGCGTTAACTCCACCTACATAATCTTGATTATCGAGTAACGTTTTCAATGGCTGTGGTACCGTTAGCCTATTCGGTTTGAGCTGGGGTTGCAATTCAATTCGTATCACATTTATTTTTACTACAAATTAAAAATAAGACTTTTAATATATAGATAAGAAGCGAAAGTTTGAAAGGAATGGACCAAATCAATGAGGCATAATTATAGCCGACTTCTTGTTAGCCTCCGTGTACTATTGTACTGTAACTGGTCTGCCTACGTAACTCCCGAAGCAGACAAATGAAATAGGAAACAGTGATCCAATGGGGCTGCAATTCAACTGGGGTGATGTTAGCTTTGATGTTTATCAATTTCCATAATTTTTCTGTAAGCGCAAGTGACAAAAGAGCGTATAATACCGACATCCAAACTCTCATTTTAACCACAACTAAACATAATATCAAGGCCGTATATATCAAACTTTCAATCAAATTGACTGACATGCGGCCTCGCTCAACAGCGGCCTTGCTTCGTACACTCCATCATTTAGCCTCGATTTAATATTTCCGGAAGTATGATGTCAACCTAACGGTTAATATCCGCTTACGACGCCATTTAAAAATTTAATCAATCAATGAAATTGCTGTTTAAATCCAAGCCATCCGAGGGTCTACAGAGTTGATTATGTGCTTGTGTAAATAAAGATCTAATTTATCATTTCTATGACATATGAAGCCTAAATAAAGACTTGCAATAATCAGATTTAACTCTTGCATAATGTATGTTTAACACTTTGCTCATTGATATAAGCATAAGGTCAAGGGCGTTTGAAATTAGGAGAAGACAGAATAAAATGTTTCATTACTAAAGAATACGGCATAATTGTGTTTATGGTAATGTAAATGTTGATATAATGTTTCAGTAAACGTTTTCAGTTTAACGATTAATTGCATCACTCGTCTAAAGATATGATGGGTCATACAGATTGAGGGAAAAAAAAACAAAAAAAGGCGGACCCCCAACCGCATGGTTGCAAGGACGTGGAAATCTCACACTACATAGAAACAGGAAAGCAAAGTGATGAAATTGAACTTTTGGTTTACATGATAACACTCGGGTGTTTAAAGGGGGAGAGAGAAATGGGGTGTAACTCCACTCGACACAAACTAGGTCATTTCGGGACTAACACATGGTTCAACTTTATTTCAATAATTTGCTTGCGAGTAGGGGTCTTTAGCAGTCGGAGGAAACCGTAGGACTGGGAGAAAACCCAAGAGGTTGGACAGGCGACTTTACTGCTTGTCACATACAACCGGGGAATCGAATCCATGCCAGCTGATTTAATGTCAGACCTTGTGATACAGCGCACATGTGCTAACCATTCGGCCATCCACCCCCCCACACGATTTAAAGGGGTATTAGCAGTGGAAAAGTGTATCGTGAATAATATAGTATACTAGCAGGATACCCGAAACTGGAAGTGGTAGACTAACGCCACCTGGCATATGTTACTCCCCCGTCGGAGCTACCCCTATACCCCAAATTTCAGACTCGGGGCAGAACTAGTGTAGCCGCCAACCCCGCTTCGCTCGGGGGTCATAACTCCGAAACTGGAAGTGGTAGACTAACGCCACCTGGCCTATGTTACTCCCCGGTCCGAGCTATACCTATACCCCAAATTTCAGACTCGGGGCACACCTAGTGTAGCCGCCAACCCCGAACAGACAGACAGACAACCGACAGTCACAAATATTGGTATAGATTTAGGACTTTTGTATCCAAGGGCCACTATCTGTGTTGGAAAATGATATATTCAGCCTTGTTGGTGTTGAGACTAGTTTGCAACAAGATGGTTGCACTTTACCTTGCCCTTAATTTAATAATTACATGAAACACAGTCATCATTTCACCTATGACAAATGTAAATATATTAACAAGATATGGCAAAAATATGTAACAATTTTGTGACACAAATTAGACAAGTCACAATTATAAACTGAACTAATAAATGAGTAGTGTTCCATCCTAATTATACAAAAACTATTTAATCAGTCTGTTGTTAACCTTCCATTAAGATAAAATGCACAAGCGGTTGCCATGCAAGATATGCCCACATTTTGCAAGAGATGGACAGAGAACAAGCTTAAAAAATAATGTGATTTTTTGTACAATCAGGGGCCATAATCCAGGAGTTTTGGTCCAATTTTCATAAAATTTGAACTCAACCAACAATACAGTGTAATGGTGATATATTTGAACGTTTTTTTAAATCAGATAATAATTGTGACCTCTAGAGGGACCACAAGCTAAAAACGTGATTTTTTGTACAATCAGGGGCCATAATTCAGGAAGTTACAATCAGATATGCGCGAATATAAAAAGGAATCAAGATCTTTGGGTTATAAACATGCATTTCAAGTCTCATCAAAATCGGGTGAAAATTGTGACCTCTAGAGAGTCCACAACCTTGATATACCATTAGCGTATGAGCAGAGGCCATTTTGTCCGGCAGTTTTGGTCCGATTTTCACGAAATTCGCACTCAACCATCATTAGGATGCAACGGTGATATATTCAAAAAAAAATTTAAATTGGATAAAAACTGTTACCTCTAGAGGAACCACAAGCTTAAAACGCAACTTTTCATACAATCAAGGGCCATAACTTAGGAAGTTACGATTCGATATGCGCTAATATCATAAGGAACCAAGATCTTTGGGTTATGTATTTCAAGTTTCATCAAAATCGGATTAAAATTGTGACCTCTAGTTGGTCAACAACCTTGATATACCATATTTTTACACTATTAGCGTAAAAGGGGTGGCCATTTTGTCGGGCAGTTTTGGTCCGATTTTCACGAATTTCGAACTCAATCATCATTACGGTAAACGGTGACATATTCAAACGGTTTTTTTAAATTGTATAATAATTGTGACCCCTAGAGGAACCACAAGCTAAAAACGCGATTTTTTGTACAATCAGGGGCCATAATTCAGGAAGTTACGATCCGATATGTGCAAATATCGAAAGGAACCAAGATCTTTGGGTTATAACCATGCATTTCAAGTTTCATCAAAATCAGATGAAAATTGTGACCTCTAGAGTATCCACAAACTAAAAACGTGATTTTTCGAACAATCAGGGGCCATAATCCATGAAATTATGCTCCAATACATACCAATATCAAGAGGTACCGAGATCTTTGGGAGATAGACCTATATTTCAAGTTTCGCCAAAATCAGATAAAAGTTACGACCTGTAGAGTGTCCACAAACAAATTGTGGACGGACATCCGGACAAACAGGGGCGACGGCATATACATCCACTTGAAAATGTGGGCGTGTAACAAGGAAATAAATGTATGTTTTTGTATACAATTATTTCAAAATACATTAAAACTGAGAAATGTATAAAAGATCAAACATTTCTCTGTTGCATCAACCAGTAAAGTAAATATGGTATTGTATTTTGGACAAATAAAAAAGTCTTTCTTTGGTAATTTTATGTACTAGAATAATGTTAACTGTAATGAATAAATATAATCATAAAGAAATGATGTATAAAGATGGTAGAAAATTGTGTTGTATTTTTTCATCTCACTGTAACCAAAGTGATAAATTGGCTAATGCTATACTGTTGTTTCCACTTTGGGTTTGAATTTTCCACCTTCCATCATATGAAAATAACTGAAATAAATAATTGGCTACTTAAAAGAACAATTCTTAGAATTTCATAATAAACAATAGTACTGGGGACTGTACATTTTGTAGACAGATTAAAATGGAAATTTTACTCATAGATTCAAGGGAGGTGATCTTTGTAACATCATTTTTATACACCCATTTGGATTTGTACTATCATCACCCTTGTCAGTTCATCTGTATACAATGTTTGTAAATGCTCTACAGATTTTTTTTGAGATTTGTTCTTAAAACTTGCTTGGGATTTTGGGCTAGTACTAAAAAGTTACCCATCAAGCAAAACCTTGAAAATGCTTTTCAATTCAGAATGCTTAGGATTTTTTATTTCAAATTTGCTAGTCCTAAGGAGGAATCGTATCGAAATTCAGTCATGCAATAAATTTTGCGTCTGTCATGAAAAACTTGGATATCTTTTATTTCATGAGTTTTTGAATTGGGAGGGAAAGTGAAAACCTACGTTTGACACACAACTTTACTATCAAAACCTTAAAGCTTGCATAGATGACAGACTTATGATTTGCGGCCAAATGCGATAGACCATACACTCTCTTCACTCATTTTATTAAAACTATTTTTCCTTTACAAACCTATCTATAATTTTATCCAACCATAAGCGATGTTTCAGTGTTTCTATCCATGAATTTGGTATTTCATTGACACCCAATTTACAACCGAGTAGCGCTCCCGCTACAGAAGCATTGGCATCAGCATCACCACCCTAAAATATCAAAATAAATACTTTAGTGTACATGGATTCTAGAATATTACAGCCGGTCATGTGAAAAATAAATAACTTTTTCTAACTATAACTCAGTAATTGAATTGAATTTGAATGGATTAATTTGTAATTGAATTGAGTTTGAATGGAGTAATCTGTAATTGAATGTAGTAGAATGGAGTAATCTGTCCTATTACATTAAAGATACATAGTGGGAGATTAGATAAAGAGCTGGCAGTTCTCACTATAATAGTTAAAAACTAAATAATGTAAAGGGAATTTTCTGAAAATTTCTGTCAAATTGATTCACTCTGAACAGAGAATTTAGCGATTGAATTTTCGGCCTATTCTCGATCATCATTACTAAAGTCGGTAAAAAACATAGTCTCGATTATCCATGTCATGATTTAATCATGAATGAAAGTTAAGCAGCAAATCGGATCCTAATCTAGTAAATATCACAGGCCAGCGATGACATCGAGCGTTGATTATGTTCTGGATAAGTTAATTAATGTCTAATTAATAATTTAGATAACATTTCAGGCCTAAAGAAAGACCTGCAATAGGCAGATTTAGCTCTTGCAAAATTTATGTTGAACCAGCGGCTGCCAGGCAGGATACGCCCACATTTTCGAGAGATGGATAGAGAACAAGCTAAAAAGAAAGTGATTTTTCCTTCAATCAAGGGCCATAATTCTGGAAATTACAATTCGATATGCGCAAATATCGAAAGGAACCGAGATCTTTGTGTTATAAACTTACATTTCAAGTTTCAACAAAATCGGATAAAAATTGTGACCTCCATAGGATCCACAACCTTGATATACCATATTTTTCTGCTATTTGAGAACGAAGGGCGGCCATTTTGTCTGTCAGTTTTGTGCCGATTTTCACGAAATTCAAACTCAGCCGTCCTTATGATGTAATGGTGATATATTAATTCGTTTTTTTAAATCGGATAAAAATTATGACCCCTATAGGGTCCACAAGCTAAAAACGCGATTTTTCGTACAATCAGGGGCCATAATTCAGGAAGCTACAGTCCGATATGCGCGAATATCGAAAGGAACCAAGATCTTTGGGTTATAAACTTACATTTCGGGTTTCAACAAAATCGGATAAAAAATGTGACCTCTATAGGGTCCACAAGCTTGATATACCATATTTTTACGCTATTTGAGAACGAAGGGCGGCCATTTTGTCTGTTAATTTTGGGCTGATTTTCACGAAATTCAAACTCAGCCGTCCTTAGGGTGTAACGGTGATATGATACGTTTTTTTAAATCGGATAAAAATTATGACCTCTATAGGGTCCACAAGCTAAAAACATGATTTTTCGTACAATCAGGGGCCACAATTCAGGAAGTTACGGTCCGATGTGCGCGAATATCGAAAGAAACCAAGATCTTTGGGTTATAAACTTACATTTCAAGTTTCAACAAAATCGGATAAAAATTGGGACCTCTATTGGGTCCACAACCTTGATAGACCATATTTTTATGCTATTTGAGAATGAAGGGCGGCCATTTTGTCTGTCAGTTTTGGGCCGATTTTCACGAAATTTGAACTCAACCATTCTTAGGGTTTAACGGTGATAAAATATTAAGTTTTTTTTAAATCGGATAAAAATTATGACCTCTATAGGGCCCACAAGCTAAAAACGTGATTTTTTGTACAATCAGGGGCCATAATTCAGGAAGTTACAGTCCGATATGCGTGAATATCGAAAGGAACCGAGATCTTTGGGTTATAAACTTACATTTCAAGTTTCAACAAAATCGGATAAAAATTGTGACCTCTACAGTGTTCACAAGCTAAAAACGTGATATTTCGTACAATCAGGGGCCATAATCCATGAAGTTACAGTACGATACATGCCTATATCGAAAGGAACTGAGATCTTAGGGTGATAAACCTATATTTCAAGTTTCATTGAAATCGGATAAAAATTGTGACCTGTAGACTGTTCAAAAACAATTGTGGACGGACGGACAGGGGCGACGACAATATACGTCCACATGAAAATGTGGGCGTATAAAAACTTATTTGGGTCAAACTGAGACCCTAACAGTAAGTACGGGAGAACTGTACAATAAAACACAGACATTGCAAATATACTAGTAAATCTAGTACAGTCCAGGTCCTATAGAAATACAGTGGACTCTGTCACCTCCGACATCTGAATACTATGGCATTCTGTGAAATCTGTCATCATTTTCATGTCCCGATTTATTTCCTTATTACTTCAACCACAAAAGTTTTGAGTAATCAGGATTATGAATATTCAGCGTTCCTGTCACACGATTTGCACATAATTAACATTGGATAATCCGGCCTTCAATCAGTGGGTGATAAGAATGCGTTTGCGAGAGAACCATGCAGGGACCGGCACATGGTGGGTGACCGATTTTCACCATTTTTTTTTATGTATGATGAGTAACCCCTCCAAACCCCACTGCCACAATTTTAGATCAATCGACCCAGTTTTAGAGTGTAGAATAAAAATTTGAAATTTTAAGACCGAAAAAAGACCCATTTTCAGGCCATTTTTCAATTATGGGGTATAACTAAACTACGGCGAGTAGATTAATGAAACTTTATTGGGAAGCAGATATGGTTAGTGAATATACATTCTTAAAGTTAGATAGACTTTCATAGAGAGGTTTTTGGTATAGGGACTTAGTGCTGCAAGGTACCAAAATAGCTCAATTTAGGTATGTCATTTTATTATATCTATATCTCACCCACTGCAGGTATAAGAATTTTTTGGAAATGCTGACTGAAAAGGCAATGATCTATAGTATTAAGATCAAGAAAAAAATTGGGTGGCACTTGACCCGTTAAGTAGTAAATAATCTCCATTTTTGTCCCAAAATAACGATTTTTAACAAAAATGAAGAAAAAAAACCGCGCTTAATTTACACACTGAAAAGTGTAACAGGGCACTGGAAACCCAATTAATGTGGGTTCCAGTTTCATTAAGAACAAGCCATAATAGAAATAAACAAATAAATATAAACGCATTATATACTTTCATCAAATAATTCAGGTTCCGTTATCAAAACTACAAATACTTACTACCAATAAGTATGTCAAATTAAAAAACACGCTATACTTTACGATCTACTATCTATCAAATCATCTATCTATCTATCGGTCTGTCTGTCTGATTAGTATCTAATTCTGAAAACTGAGCTCACACTTACACCATTCAATTTTTTTTTTGGTGAAGTTTGAAAAGTTTAATTTAATGTAAATGCCAAAAGAGCTGTTCTTGGTCTAGATAATTAATCTCTCTAGACTATTTTTCAACATTTTATTAATTCGGCAATATAATCTCATGATCTAGTAGAAGGATGATGAATTTTTTAACAGCAAATCGTAAAAACTAAATAGTGTATTTTATACTAGCATAGAGTCCACACTTGACGTATTTGCTCCTGTAAAGTCCCGCAAAAGTAAAGGCAACCATCCAAATCCCTGGTATACTGATGTCATTCACTCTGAAAGAATTCTCAGACGAAAAGCAGAAAGAAAATGTGTAAAAACAGGTCTTGAAGTTGATAGACAACTATTCTAATCACAGTCCAAGAACCTAATAAAATTGATCTCGGATGCTAAGACAACTTTATATAAAAACAAACTCTCTGCAACAGATTCTAAAGATCTTTTTAATGTTATCAATAAACTTATCTCTGAAAACCAAAATAAATTACCAAAGTCTAATTCAGATGTTGTGCTAGCTGAACGTTACAGTGACTTCTTTCATGACAAAGTCAGTGATATCAGACGTACTCTAGACAATACTAGCAGTGGGTTAAATGCGTTTGAAGAACATCATGTACCAAGCGTTTGTTTGAGTTTGCCTTAGTTACAGAACAACATGTCCGGTTCATCATTGGTAAGAGCAAGTCAACTTCCTGTAGCCTAGATCCCCTTCCAACATGGCTTCTGAAGTCCAAACCAGTATTGGATGCGTGCCTTCCTTTCATCACTGCTATCATAAATTCTTCAATTGCCAAACAAAAGCTGTGTGCCGACTTCATTAAAGACTGCCCTTGTGATTCTACTTCTGAAGAAACCATCGCTTGATTGCGAGATCCTCAAGAACTATCGCCTTGTCTCAAATCTTGAGTTTATCAGAAAGGTGCTTGAAAGGGTGATAAGCGAGACAAATCACTAATTATCTGCAAGCTAACATTCTTCATGAACCACTGCAGTCTGCTTATAAAGAAGGTCACAGCACAGAGACAGCACTCTTGAAGGTAAAGGCAGATATTGATGCAGCACTGGACAGTAACCTTGGCATCAACCTTATACTTCTATATCTAAGTGCGGCATTTGATACCATCGACCATAGCATTCTGTTCAATCGACTGCAGTTATCTGTGGGAATCAAAGGATCGGCGCAGGATTGGTTGAAGTCTTATCTAACTGACAGAAGCCAATGTGTCCATATTCATAGCAGCAACTCTGTATCTAAACCGTTGTCCATTGGAGTCCCACAGGGATCAGTACTTGGTCCACTTCTTTTCTTACTGTATGTACTTCCACTTGGTAAAATTATTCATAGAAATGGTATCAGCTATCACGGTTTTGCCGATGATACGCAATTGCATAACACATTCATTCCTTCTGACCAGATGTCAATACACAGTGCCCTAAAGAAGCTAGAATCCTGTATCAATGATATTCGGATATCGATGAATAAAACAAAATTAAAGCTGAGCGATGAGAAGACAGAATTCCTGATGATATTACCAAGATCAAAACTGAACAGTTTCAACTTTTCACCAAAGCTAAACATCGGCGATACCCAAATTTCACCATCATGTAAAGCACGAAATCTTGGTTTCATCATGGACAAGACAATGTCTCTCATCCCACAAGTTAACAATACTATGTGTAAAATTTACATGAGATTAAAGCCAATATCCAGAATCAGGAGGTATCTTACTAAAGATTCATGTGCTAGAGTTGTATTAGCACTGGTCATATCT